TCAATTAAACTTTAATGTCTAGTATATGCTAGGAATAAATGTTACTCTTTCAATTTATTTCCCTGTGCCCCAACTTCAATGCACTTTTCCTCTGGGCAACTGAATAAAGATGGCCAAAGTTTATCCATTTATCTTCATTTTGCTCTGCTTTCACACTGAATCTTTTTTCAGTAAGTATATGTTTTCAGAGATCTTCAGTTTGGCATTGTAATATCTTAGTAAATACTTTTTTTTATCTTAAAACTTCCAGATTTAGTTAATTTATTCTCTGATGCTTTGTCCATAATTACTCAGTGGAGTGTGTTGAAGAAATATTTGAGTGTATGAACATTGCATTTGTAATTACAAGCCAACTCAACTTAATTCTGTGTCATTGTTTTTGTGTTACTAAAATTAATTATCAATGGAGAAATATTTTCAATTTCCTGATTGACAATAGAGTGAATGCAAGAAGTCCAATATTTAATTTCAGTTATTATTTCAGAGTAAATATGGAAAAGTACCCATAAGTGAGGTTAATACATGTTGTTGAAAAGTTTTATTTAGGATATAAATCTTAATTTTCTGATGATATTCCAAAAAAGGCAAACACGGAATAATGAAACAGCTGTAAAATAATATATATGTGTGTATATATATATATTTAGTGTAATGAACCTCATTAGCACAATTTTAATCAAAATCAGAGGGTTATAAGTTAGAGAAAGATTAAAAGCATGCTCAGCTCATCTGTGATCCAAATATTATATTAATGATGTTTTAAAGTATCTCTTATTAGCCAAACAGTTATGTCATATTGGTAGTACACATGTAAAAAAATTGATGAGTTAAAACAGGTGAAAAAATATTGTGAGACATGTTGGAAAGTATTTGTAAAATAGTATTGTTAACTACTATAGCAAGGTCAATAAGATTACTGAATGAGCATACTAAAAACACTACACCCCCCTCTGTATTAAATAAAGTAATTTTGTTATTAGTGTTAATAACCTATATTTACCTAGTACAATTTTCACAATTCTCAAAGCTCTTTTACTCATTCTCTTATATGATATTTGCAGCAAACTTATGAAAAATGTAAGTCAGATATTGTAGTATGACCGTGAAGGGTACAGAGGATTGGAAAAATGAATGGATAGAGACTCAGTCGGGGCCATTCTACAAAATAAATACAGTTTTCAAAATCTGAAGCCTGTTTGAAAAGTAGAATTTAAACATGATGAATCTTTTACTAGGTATGGAAGGTTATGGAAATTCATTGGTCATTACTTTTAAACATATTCAATCAAGAGGTAGAACTTTTGAAAATTATCTGATTTGAATGATGGTTGTAAAATTTCCTCAAAATATTTAGAGATAACTGACTCAGAAAATATAAAGTAGCTTAAGGTAGACTTAAAAAAATGTTTGGAACCAGTCAGACTGTGATGTTATTATTAAAGCACTAATTTTATCATACATAATGTGGAAATAATACTATCTTTAGGTTGTGCTTAATGACCATTAGGGTTACATGATCCACATGAGCTGAAAAGTAGCAGATATCTATGGGAGGCCACAATAGACAAGCATTTGATCCTTCCCAAACAAAAAAGGTCCCAGTTGGAGTAGGGGCATGGAAGTACTGGGGACTTGTCATGTACGTCATCATTATTATTCTACGTAGGGTACCAAAGGATTCCCTGATCTCTGCTTCTCAGTCTTCTTCACAACGACAGTGTAGGGCCGAAGAGGTTGTAGGTCATGTGTTATCCTTTCTTACAGACCCAGAACTAATGTTTCCAGAAAATGGAACAGGACATAGGGACTATTCTAAGAAAACAACAGTAAGGTGTTGTTATATATATATATAAATGAAAGTTTTGTCAGCCAATGCAGGTGCCCAGACCTGTCAGAAATCCTTTAGTACTGCATCAGAGTAAGAACAAGATTAATAAGGAAAAGGTAGAGACGGTAATACATTCTTATGTACTTTTTTCCGTGACTGTCCATTGGGAAAAGTCCTCCCTTGACCAATTGGTGTTCTAACAGGACATTAGAGTTCCATTCCTATCAAAGGCAAACTTATATAACAATGTTCCTCTTAAAAGAGTAGTGTATTTTATTATTTTTTTTTCCAATTTAATCCACATATCTAAATCATCAAACTAGGGATGCCTGGCTGGCTCAGTCAGTGGAGCATACGACTCTTGATCTTGGGGTTGTAAGTTCGAGACCCACGTTGGGTGTAGAGATTACTTAAAAGAAATTTTAAAAAGACAATCATCAAACTCATAAACTTGTTTTTACAATATAATGGTTAGCACTGCACTATGGAGCCTGCTTTCTTGCTTGGGTTTAAATCCTCAATGTACCACTAACTGTGTGACCTTAGGCAAATCATTAAAAACCCCTGTGCTTTCGTTTCTTTATCAATAAAATGGTGATAATATTCTTACCTACATTACAGAATTGTGAGGATTAAATGACTTGATATATGCAAGAGTTTGGAACAGTTTTATTCATTAAATGTTTTATAACTCATGGTTATAATCTTCAGTGCTAGTATTTTTTAGTAGGATTTTTTTAGAGTTTAACCATGAATACTAAAAAATAGCATAAAATGAAGATGTCCTATGTTCTTAGTTTTAATGTAATAGCTATTGGCATTATCTTATAAGGTTAATAACTGCAACAGTTACTCATTTTTGTTATTTTTACCATTATTTGTAAAAAGTGCATATTGAAATGGTTATAATTTAACATACAGTAAGTGCACAGGGCATGGTTTACTTCTTTTTAAATTATGCAATATAGTAGGTAAACTTCTACCTGCATAAAGTAAAAAGAAAATTTGTTAATTTTGAGTATTTTATAGGCATGATCAAAACAGATGAAGGTAATGATTAATTTAGAGGTAATTTGTGCTGTACAGCCATAGCACAAACAGTAGTTAGTATCAGTTACTTTGAGTACTTATTTGTTTTTGCTTAGAATGTATTTGGTGCTATTTCCCTACTAATTGAAATATGAAAATAATTCTGTTGCCCTAAATTCTACCTACTTTTTTGTTGCTTAGAATTGTTAAGTGACAAGTTGTAAATATTATCAAATATCACATTATTCAGTGTTGAGTCATTAAATGTTAAATATATTTATTGATTGATTGATGTAGTGTAAATGTTAAATACTTTTATAAGAGAACAATCACAGCCCTTTAGGACTTTTTGGACAATTATTTATAAAATGTTGGTACAATTGGATATCTAAATTTTATTGGGTACTTTTTGTTATTTGGTGTCACTGATTTGTCCTTCCACTGTTAGTAGTCACTTTATGACCCCAAGAAAGTCAATAACCAAGGTGCAATAATTAGTCATTTAAAATAAAGATAATAATGTAAGATTAGTCATTATTGGTACTAAAACATAAACACTCTAAATTCTAAGTGTTAAAAGATTCTAGAAGCCAGGGAAAATTTCTTCCATGTATGCTTCATGGAGTCATATGCTTTGAGGGTGCTACATAAAGTAACTTTCACAACGAGCCAATTACTACTTGAAGATTTTGTCTCCATAAATCATATTGGATTATAATTCACTTTATATCATTTCTTTCTTAGCATTCTTTTAAAGGGATATTATGAAAGACACGGTCAATTTGACTTACACTCATGATGGAAATATGATCGTAAAAATTCTCTACGGGTATGGCCCAGAAACCACGGAACTTCCTTGTTTCTTTTACTACCTCTATGGCTTTTTTTCTTCAGAAAATTGATTTTTTTTTCCCCCATCCCTCTCTGCTACAAAGGAAATTACTATTAAGTCTTGTATATACTTGTATATATGTCCCAACTCTGACCACTTCCTAATACCTCTACTGCTAAAACCCTAATCCAGGTAATTCCCCTTAGATCTCTGCACTAGGCTTTCAACTAAGCCTTCCTGTCTCTGCTTTTGGGTTTTTTTTTTTTTTTGCAGTCCATTCCATTAAACAAGCCAGGTATACTTAAAGCATAATTTTAGCCATATCTCCTCTGTTTAAACCTTTCTCATGGCTTCTCACTAAAACTAGAACAAAATCCAAATGCCTAATCATGGGATATGCATTTCTGCTAGATCTCATCACCTATCATTTGACCTTTCCCTCCCTCCAGCAACAACCCCCAACCCTACCCTCCCCCAAGCCTCCAACTACATTCGTCTTCTCTCTGTCTCTAGAACATGCTTCATGACCCTTGCCGTTCTGTTCACTCTTAGAATTCTTCCCTTAGTTCTCTGATGGCCTCCTCAAAACTTATGCCCCTATTCAAAGGTCATCTTCTTAGAAGTCTCTCCTAAATACTCTGAATAAAATGAACTTCTCTTTCTTCCAAGTCATTCTCTGTCCCGTCATCCCGTTTAATTATCTGTAGTATTTACCATCACCTGCTACTATAATAATTACACATTTATATCTGTGTTGTCTTCTCCTTTGTGTACTGCTTTGTCTTTAGTATCTTCAGACATGTCTGGCACATGGTTGGCATGTAATAAACATTTGTTGAACAAAAGTATGACTGTTTTCAATAATGATCTATTTTTAGCTCTATGACTCTAATATCATCCCACCATTCCTACCTACGGTTCTGTGGTCTTTCTCTAGTCTGAAGGCTCCAGCAAAAATTGTCTTATTTTATTTCCTCTTATTCATCTCCACTTGGATTATTGTCTTAACTCTACCAGTTCTGACTGTACTTATATTGTGGCTGACTTCTATAGATAAAATAGCCTCAGTTGTCTTTGATGACAATTTGCTCTTTCCAGAGCCCACTGGGGAATAAAAGGAAATTAAGATATTTTCCTTGATTTTTTTTTTATTTTTTTTCTTGCAGTAAAACTTCTGATTCACGTGTAGTCACAGCCTCCAAATGCATCTCTGATGAAGGATAGAATCTGAAAAGGGTATTAAATTTAAACCGTGTTTCTGAGTTTACACAGGTGATGACAGAAATATAATGTACTTTGTTTTTCTTTCAGATCTCCCACTAAAGACATGGATTCAGAAGAGAAGGAAATTGTGGTTTGGGTTTGCCAAGAAGAGAAGATTGTCTGCGGGTTAACTAAACGCACTACCTCGGCTGATGTCATCCAGGCTTTGCTTGAGGAACATGAGGCTACGTTTGGAGACAAACGATTTCTGCTGGGGAAGCCCAGTGATTACTGCATCATAGAAAAGTGGAGAGGCTCGGAACGGGTTCTTCCTCCACTAACTAGAATCCTGAAGCTTTGGAAAGCTTGGGGAGATGAGCAGCCCAATATGCAATTTGTTTTGGTTAAAGCAGATGCTTTCCTTCCAGTTCCATTGTGGCGGACTGCTGAAGCTAAATTAGTGCAAAACACGGAAAAAGTGTGGGAACTCAGTCCAGCAAATTACATGAAGACATTACCGCCAGATAAACAAAAAAGAATAGTCAGAAAAACTTTCCGGAAACTGGCTAAAATTAAGCAGGACACAGTTTCCCATGATCGAGATAGTATGGAGACCTTAGTTCATCTGATTATTTCTCAGGACCACACTATTCATCAGCAAGTCAAGAGAATGAAAGAGCTGGATCTGGAAATTGAAAAGTGTGAAGCTAAGTTCCACCTTGATAGGGTAGAAAATGATGGAGAAAATTATGTCCAGGATGCATATTTAATGCCTAGTTTCAGTGAAGTTGAGCAAAAGCTGGACTTGCCTTCTGATGAAAACCAGATTCTGGACGACCTGACTGAAAGTGATGGAATTGTACACCTGGAGGAAAGATTAGCATATTATAGAATGCTCATTGATAAGCTCTCCGCTGAAATAGAAAAAGAGGTAAAAAGTGTTTGCACAGAGATAAATGAAGACGCAGAAGGGGCCGCTGCAAGTGAGCCTGAAAGCTCTAATTTAGAAAATGTTAAGTGTGATTTGGAGAAAAGCATGAAAGCTGGTTTGAAAATCCACTCGCACTTGAGTGGCGTCCAGAAAGAGATTAAATACACTGACTCATTGCTTCAGATGAAAGCAAAAGAGTATGAATTCCTGGCCAAGGAGTTCAATTCACTTCATATTAGCAACAAAGATGGATGCCAACTAAAGGAAAACAGAGGGAAGGAATCTGAGGTCCCCAGCAGCAGTGGGGAGGTTCCTTCCTTGACTCAAAGAGTATTTAACTTGTATACAAATGACACAGACTCGGACACTGGTATCAGCTCTAACCATAGTCAGGACTCAGAAACAACTGGAGGAGATGTGGTGCTATTGTCAACATAATTTGAATGGCTTGTTTCTGACCTACTTTTATGTTCATGTTTGCTTAATAGGAAACTTTATTTTAAATGTCACATTCTGAAAAATGATGTAAATCATGTTAAGTATTCAGTGGTTAACAAAAACTAGAGAAAGTTTATTTTTGATTTAAGAGTTCCAATCTCACCCAATTATTACAAGTTCCGACGATGAGCTATTTATTAGGAATGCAACACAAATAGCTTGCAGGTGTATAACAGAAATGATTTGATGGGAATTATAATCTCTTATAGCTTCTGGGAGAAATGATTTACAGAAACAAAACGAATTCTTAATATTGCAGTCAACATATTAAAACTAGACACGTAAACAAGTAAAGTTAAAAATGTGCTGTAATATATTTTTTCAAAGCTGTATCATTGGAAATTTTAAGTCTGTAATGTACATGACAGCTATGCTACTGTAATTGTATGAATTCAAGTCTTGGTTCTTCTCACTGATACTTAGAATGTACATCATCTCTGTCACTTTCTAAACCCCTCTACTTGTTTAGACCTAGACAACAGGAAATGGGAAGGGCTGCCACTGGGACATGTACAAATTCCAGCAGTGGATTGAATGGGGGTATAGATGAGAAAGGGCCAATTGCTACATACAACAGCAATTTTTCTAAAGAAGGCTAAAGTTACTAAGAATGGTACCTGGGCTTTCTCTGACAAAGCAAATCCTCTGATCAAACAAATGGTCTGTGCAGGTTTATTTTTTGATGAGGTATGATGTGGGTTACAGAGAAAATCACAGGGTCACAGTCCTGTTTATTTACACCCTGCCTACAAAAGAGGCTCCAAGAGAGGCAACTTGGGGTCCTTTGTGTGGGTAAAATAGAGTTCTGTATACCCTAAGTATTAGCATTTTGTCTCTGATCCTACAGAGAGGAACTCACATGGACAAAAACCTTTTATTCTGTTACACTGGAATTCAGATTGTCTTTGTAGAACTTCATCTAAGGTGCAAACTAATAAAATGTGGCTCTGACCCACACTCCTTCCCCAAGGATGCTAGTGAATATCCAACAAACTGAACAGATTATTTAGATCCCACCTTGAGTGACACTCTTCAGTGCCAGATGAGGCTTGGTTTTGCCTGATGTTTTCCTCCCTCTCTCCCTTCTTTCCTTCTTGCCAGTGAACACATGATGTAATCACATTGTAAACAATTAGTTTTATTGTTTTATTGTACTGTTAAATAAACACCACTGTGGTTTATTTTTTCTTTAGCTGACACTTTTCCTGTATGTCAGCATACATGTAAGTAAATATTATTTTACTTAATTTTAATATGTGGATATTGGTGAAGATTTCAGTATTTCTTATTCCCTTTTATTCCCATGCTTACTGTAGTGCATGTTTTAACCGAGTTTCCTAATCTACTTTTTCATTTCTCCATCCCCCAGACTTTTCACCAAACTTTGGGAAGATATTTAGAATGTTTCAGTATTTCACTTTGGAGAGCATCTGTGTTACCATTTCTTGCACCAAGATAATGCTAAAGGCTTTAGTTGAAATTGGCTGGTAAAGAAAATAGAAATTTCCATTCCAGGGAAAAGATAGTCATAAAGAGTAAGTAATAATGTTAACATAGGTTTAATTAAAAAAAATTAAAGGGAATTGAATAGTCATCTGAGAAAGGGAAGTTTTTTTTTGCCAAATATCCCATTAAATCATTCAGCAATAAGGCAAGTTACTGATATATTCTTTGTTCACTACTGGGGATTAAATTCAGAAGATCATCATCAATGATAAACCAATTGCAATGTTGTTTTCCAAAAGTGAAAGCAATCTCTTTGTGTTACTCCTTAGTGAGAAAATAATGAAAAGAACATTACTTATCTGCTATGTAATTTGATTAATTATCTGAATTTGAAAGAGGGTCTGATAAGAAATAGGACTGGACAGATAATTTCATTTTAGAATCTTTGAATTAACTTCTGCCTTTATATAGTTAAGTAGAGATACATTCTAAGGACTACTTCTATATTTTTACAATAAATTATGTTAAAAACTCTTCTCAGAAAGCAGAATCATTGATTTTTAAACACACTTTAGAATTTCTAGTTGTTCTTTAGTTATACAAATCTATTTGTGCTTTTGATTCGTTACAATATTAAATCATCAGTTACCATGCTGAATCTCTTCTTTTTTTTTTTTTACCATGCTGAATCTCTAATTTAGGGTAATATATTAATGCAGATATAAAACTTAACTACAATTGCCCTCATCTCTGGATACTGAGCTATTCTTTATTAAAGTGAGAATCTGAATTATAAATATAGAACTTGATAGAGGCTTTAATGATTTAATTATGTATAGAATCTTTAAAGTGTTTATAAATGTTTGAGTAACCTAACAGGTTAACTATGAAATTGCTATATGCAAGTAGAAGTAGCAAACCAAAGCTGACTGTTCTTCCTTCTTGTAACAACGTAGATTTTCATAGACTGTACCTTGTTCGTCCTCCCCCTTGGAATGCCTCTTTTTCCCTCCATCTGCCATACACGGAAAGCTACCCATTTTGTCTTTTTAACATGTTATATTTTCTATGAAACATTTATTCCATTCAATCAGTTGTAATATCTTATCTCTGAGCCCACAACTATTTCGGGTGCACTTTTCATAGAGGAGCACTTATATTATGGCTTAGCTTATATTTATTTATGTATTACCTAACTTCCCTCCCCCAATGTATTTTTTTATTGTTTTATTACTTTGTCTTCTATCTTGTTAACTATAATCCCTCCAATCGACCTCCTTACCTCTTTGCCCCTACCAAGTTTTTGAATTGAAATGCTAAATTTTAGAAGGCCGCAACCATTTTAAAAATTATTTCTATGATGCTCATGCATTTTGTATATAAATATGTTTATTAGCAGACTTAAAATGGTAAAAATAATTCTACTTATAAATTCTTTAGGGGAGGCACTAAATCTTTGTGCTCTGAAAAAAATTTTAAATTAGTAAATTTTTTATTTGATTTTTAAATCACAGTTACTGATTTAAGGCAATGCAAATATTGTCTTTTTAAAAGCCTCTCAATGGTTAAATTACAGTATTTTCCTTTGCATTATATGCATGTAGGAAAAAATATATATTGTGTAGAATTGAATTTTAAGTAGTAGACACAAAATAACTTTGAAATAATATCCTAAATGAAATACATTTTATTTTCTCTTTCTAACTCAAAAAAATAAATGGCCTCAATGTATAGAACCTATTCTAATCCATTAAAATTTTATTTTTGTATTATTTAAACATGTACTGTACATGACAAAATATACTTCTATGGCTGCATTTTATAGTTTTTCAAAGTAGGATTATGGTTTTATTTAGAATGTATTTTTCTAGTTGACAAAAGGAATACCTTTTAATCCAGATACAGATTTCTTTTTTAATATTAGGCTATTTCTTTTCATACTACCTGATTGGTTTAATAAACCTGATGTAACAAATATAATCTATCTGTAATTTTTTTTCAAGTGTAACTAATCCAGAATAATAAAAGAAATAGTTGTACCCTTTCATGTGACATTGCTTGTCTTTCTGGGTGCATCACTCGGCTATATTAAAAATAAATTTTATATTAGTCAGAATTATATAATTGCTGTGCTAACTTACACAAGTTAAGATCAGGTATTATTTCATGAGAATATATAGCAAATAAGACCTAATAAAACTTTTTATTAGGTTTTATACATATGTTTCAATTTGTCGTGAAAGAATGTCCTCACTTCTATACTAGATGGCTGGTTTTATGAGCTGGTATCTTGCTTTCTAGAATGAAATCCATTTTATTTTATTTTATTTTTTAAAATATTTTATTTAATTATTTGAGAGAGAGAGACAGCAAGAGAGAGCACAAACAGGGAGGAGAGGGAGAAGCAGGCTCCCCGCTGAGCAGGGAGCCCGATGTGGACTTGATCCCAGGACCCTGAGATCATGACCCAAGCTGAAGGTAGATGCCCAACCAACTGAGCCACCCAGGTGCCCAGTAAAATCCATTTTAATGTAATAATGTAATAATATTCAAGTGTAAATCTTCTCTGCTATTATTTAATTGGTCACTACCTTATTTCTCAAAATAGTCCTTTAATTTCGACTGTCTTAATAACCAAATCATTTGAAAATTAAGGAAACTCATTTGGTCATTCTATAAATGAGCATGAAATGACTCTACTAAAAGATTGTATATAATGTCCAGTCACAACACTTAGGAATAAGTTAACACTATTTTCTTAGCCATATACATTTATACCTATATATGCATAGATTATCTCTAGAACAAATCACAAATAACACTTAACAGTGGACATTTCTGAAGAGGATATCTGGGAAATTAGGCCACGGGTAGAAGGAAGAATTTTTCCTTTCAAGGAAGACTTACTTTTCATGCTGTACATTTTTTTTTAGTAATTTGATTATAGTAATAATAATAATTTGAGTATCATGTGTTTTATTTGTGACAATTTTTATATTAAAATGTAGGGGCACCTGGTTGGCACAGTCATTAAGCATCTGCCTTTGGCTCAGGTCATGGTCCCAGGGTCCCGGGATTGAGCCCGGCATCGGGCTCCCTGCTCGGCGGGAAGCTTGCTTCTCCCTCTCCCATTCCCCCTGCTTGTGTTCCCTCTCTCTCTGTGTCTCTCTCTGTCAAATAAATAAAAAAAAATCTTTTTAAAAAATGTAAATGTAATGTATACACGGTTCTATATTATTCATATAGAGACTCCTTATTCTGTTTGATGGCAGCAGGGAATCCTGTTGTGTCAATTATCATAATTTATTTCACCATTTCTTTCCCAGTGGGCATTTAGGTGCTTTCCAATCATTTACTGTTATAAACAGTGTTATCCAATCAATATGTTTCTGTGAGGGTGGATTGTTGGATTAGAAATCTGTATCAAAGGAAGAGAAATGGATTTTTAAAATTTTAATAAACTTTGCTAATTATTCTTTATGGAAATTGATCACTTATGACCTGAGTTGAAAATACACTCTTCCCACCCACAGTCTGTGCCATTTGTCTCCTTATTGATTATTTTAATGTAAAAATTTTAACAAATCTTTTTGAATTTAAATTTAAAGATTTTTCTCATTAACAACTCATGAGCTGTTTTTTTGTCATTCTTAAAAAGGCCTTCCCACTGCATGTTAACTAATTTAAAAAAAAATTTCTCCCATGTGTTCTTTATACTACATTTTTTTTTTTTTATGTTTTACTTTTAAACATTTGAACTATCTGGAATTTATTTTGTTACCATGTACAAAAGTAGGTAGAATTTTTTTTTTGATACTCACCAGTTATCCCACATCACTTAATAAGGGAACATTGTCCAGCTTTTTAA